GTAGTCTCAGAGGGGGCTGCAGGGAGGATTAAATTATGAAACAGTGCCTGGAACACATGGTGCCACGATGATGTCCTTGTCTGTAGAGTGGAATGCACTCGGCCCTGCTCCTCTCTCTGGGTTGATACCGGGTCTCCATGACACACTCTGACACTGGGAAGTGCTGAGCGCCTGTGAGGGACATACCTTCTCTGGGAAAGGACGGCTATGGATGTAGAGGGATAGAGAATGGCTCTAGAGCTGCTTCCGGGGACAGGATGGGCCCTTGGGAGTCCATTGACAGACAGGCCAGTCTAGCCAGTAAAGACTGAGTGGGTTCCTAGAAGACTTTGGGGTTTGCTAGGGTGGCAGTGCCCACTGTCCAGAGTACTGGGCCTGCAGAGGCCTTGGGCAAGCGTGTGATTCCAGCCCAGTGGGGAGAAAGCAGGCCCTAGCTGGGATGGTCTGGGTTTCCCCAATTTCCCTTCTTCACAGCCAGCTTCTAGCCAAGCCCTCCAAAAACTCACTCCCACATGGGCCAGGGTCCCCCACTTCTACTCTGGCTAGGGCCCACACCCCTTGTGTCCCTCCTCCAGCTGCACCTCTGTAGGGTCATGTGTTAACGTGTGTAAAGCACATAGTAAGTGCTCAGTAATTGCTAGCTATGTTTATTGTTATGGTTATGTCTTTCACCTTATTACTACATTCTTTCCATGCACATCTCAAGTACATTGGATACCAATTGCTGTTTTATGGTTGTGTTGATTCCTTTTATTCTTCAGGCAGTGGGGAGCCATGGAGGGCTTTTGAGCAAGGATGTGACATAGGGTTGAGCTCCAGGCTGCTGAATCTGGCAGTGAGTTTAAGCCTCATTACGTGGTGTGCTTAGTTCAAAAGGGGCTTTATTGTTCTATGGTAGTTTTAGAAATAGCTTTTCAAATCCTTCTCCCTTTAAATGGGGGAGAAGAGAGGTTGGATGAGAAGGAAAAGAAAGCTTGTGCTAGGAAAAAGGGAGGCAGCGTGAGGGGTCAGGTATTTAACAGAGATTATAACTGCAGAGTGGGGTGCAGGCTGGGTGTGACATTGCCAGACACTGTCCCCAGGTCAGATTATTGGTATGGAATTCCCTCTTCCTCCATGACCCCCGTCCGAATGGGCCTTGCTGCTGCCAATGGTGGGACTAGAGTAACGGTAATATGCATCTTTCTGTGCTTTCAGAGATGTAGCCGCTGGGGCGGAGCTGGTTTAACTGTGGAAGCTGGTCATGCTGGGTGGGTGTGACTCTGGGTTGGAGTGGGGGTAGAAGGGAGGTTGGTACTGGCCATGAAAGGAATATAGAGGCCATTTAGGGAAACTGCAAATTCAGTAAGGTGGAGCTGTGCAGAAATGAAGGACCCTTTATTAGCAAATCCAAAGCTCGGCCAGTGTATGATTTGATGCTGGCTGAGTGGCTGCAGGGAGCGGCTGGTGGAAAAGGTGTAGAAGCTCCAGGGGAGGAGGAGGTTGTTGGGAGAGGGAGAGGGGATGGAGGAGGAGCAGGGGTGGAGGAGCTCATGGATGTGGGGGAGCATGGAGAAGCAGGGGGCTCAGCTCCTCCCAGCCCATGTGAATCTGGGATCCGGGTCCTGGGTCCTCCCAGGCTTCATCTCCAGTGATTCTGCTTATGGAGTTCAGGGTGGGCCCAAGATTCTGTGGGCAGCAGACAAAAGGCCAGACTTTGAGAAACATGGATAGGTTCACGTGTGGCTCCTGTGGTGGTAGGAGAGAGGATGATAAGATGGGCAGGGCTGGGGTCTGTGGGCAGCAAGTGGTGAGAGAGGCTGGGCTTGGGCCCTGAAGCCCCACTGTGGGTGCAGCTGGGGAGGGACACAGGGGGGCTGTGAGCCCTACTGTGAGTGGCAGTGGGTACCCTGGCCTAGGTGGGAGTGAGTTTTTGGAGGGCTTTGGCTAGAAGCTGGCGGTGAGGAATGGTAAATTTGGGGCATGTGGGGACCCACCAGCTGGGTGGGGATGGGGGATGGGGTTAGTTCAGGAGCTGGACTGAGTGATCAGAGGCAGGGGCCTGCAGCCAGGGAGACAAAGGCAGGGCCAGGGCAAGCCTCACCACAGGGTGGTATGGCGGCAAGGGCGTGGTGAGCCCTGCGGGGCAGGAGCTTGGAGGTGGGGCTGAGGTCAGCGTAGGCCTAGTAGCTGCCCTGCATGCCTCACTTGGAGCTCCGTAGGACCCTCTCAGGTCTCCCTGCTGGAAACAGAGCCTGGGGGTGGGAAGAGAGAGCTGTGGGGCTAAGTGGTCCCAGCCAATGGTGTGAGGGCTGCAGAGCAGGGAGCTGATACCACAGGTAGGGTGAGATGCCGAGACTCTGTTCACCCATCCACTTATTTGCTCATCAGATATTAATTAAGGGCCAGGCACTACTGAATAGGGGGCTTTCATGGGCTCCCTTCCTTTAAAAAAAATTTTTTTTTAAGAGACAGGTCTCACTCTGTTGCTCAGGCTGGAGTGCAATGGTGTGATCATAACTCATTGCAGCCTCGAACTCCTGTCCTCAAGTGATTCTCCCACCTCAGCCTCCTGAGTATCTGGAACTACAGGCGTGTAACCACCATGCCTAGCTAGTTTCTGAATTTTTTTTGTAGAGACGGAGATCTTGCTGTGTTGCCCAGGTTGGTCTTGAACTTCTGGCCTTGAGTGATCCTCCTGACTCAGGCTTCCAAAGTGTTGGGATTACAGGCGTGAGCCACAGCGCCCGGCCTTTCCCTTCCTTTTTGAGAGGCAGTGTGGGCACGTGCTTGAGGAGGAATGTGGGCCCTGGAGCCTGGGTTTGCTTCATCCCTGCTCCTTCACTGCTAGCTGGGCAACCTCGGACAGTTACTTGTGCTTCAGGTGTCCCAGTTGTAAAAAGGAGGACATAACTGTACCCACCTCAAGGGGTTGTTATGAGGATTACACGTCTAGATTCATGCAGAGTGGTTGGAGTGGCACCTGGTTTTTATTATTCTTGCTCCAGCCACACCCTTGGACAGTTCTCGCATCATCACCACCTGTTTCCAGGGACACCAGCCCCTCTGCCGGAATGCCCTTTCCTCCTTCTCTTTTAGGCCAGTTGAAATGTCCTGCCTCCTAGGTCTCATTTTCCCAGCCGTAAACAGGGGTTGATCACCGCCGCCCTGCATGCTTCTCTGGATGACTGAGGGAAGGGAGAGATGGTCCTGGCTCTCTGAGCAGTGCTGGACAGCGAAGCCTGCGCCACAGTGTCCTGTTTGTTCTGTCACGTCCATTTCCAGATGCAGACATTGAGGCCAAGAGGTGCTGTGGTGTTAAAGTGTCCTCTCTCCAGCCTCCACACTGACCATTTGGCGGCCAGTTTAGGCAGAGGCCGCTTGAGATTTGGTTCCTGAAGGAGCCCCTGCCATGTTTCATAGGAGACCAGTGGAAGCCGTCCCAGCTGTGTCCTGCAGCACAAGTCTTCAAGAGGGAGGGCCTTGGAGCCCACCCTTTCCCCATTGTGTACTGTGGGGGCAGTGAAGCCTGGAGCGGTGAGCCATCCCTGCCTGTGGCCCTGAAGCTGTGGTGTTGTGGTGCTGAGTGTCGCTGGGCAGTGATGCTCCCTGGCCTGATGCCCTCACTGTGCACGTGCAGCTGATGTTTGATTCATGTTCTTCACCCTTTCCAGCCTATGCTGGGGACCCAGAGATAAATCAGCTTCAGGCCTGACTCAGGGAGCTCACAGCAGAAGGGGCAGGCTGCTGGGTATCAGATAATGACCACACAGTGTGACTCAGGGTCAGGGAGCCCAGTGCAGGTGTGAGAGAGCTTCATTTAGGAAGATAGGGGCTTGTGTTGGCCAGACAGGAAGGGGAAAGGCATTCCACTCGCTACATGTAGCCCAGAGGTGCAGAGTGGCGGGGATAAACCGACTCTGAAGGGCACCTGTGAGCAAGTAAATGCCAGTAAGGGCCAGGGCCCGAGGAACAGGCTGAGCTCCTGGGACCTCATCTGCTGAGGCCAGTAATGGGTGCTGAGATGCCTCTCAGAGGGGCCTGGGTGGTGGGGTGGGGTGGGGTAACATATCACAGATGCTACACTGCTAGAGAGGAGAGGTCTGGCCTTGGGCTGTTACTGTAGGCCCAGAGAGGGGCAGTGTTTGCTCAGCGTGACACAGGGCATTGGTACTGCCTGTGGCCAAATGGAGAAGTAAGTCTTTGTTTGGCTAAGTGTTGAGAATGAAGACCTCTTGAGTGCTTGTCTTCTACTGTTCTCAGGCAGAAAGGTCACAGCGCAGGCCTTGCTGGGACTCCCCATGTCGGTGGTCACTTGCTCTGGTCTGGCTGGCTCTCAGCTCAGGATGTTTCTGGGTGGGAAGATACAGGAGGCTCAAAAGGCGGGTCAACTTGGTAGACAGTGGAGGGCTGCAGCCAGGAGGGAGGACTGGAACCAGGAGAGAGGGCTGGAGCCAGAGGCCAGCAGGGGTAAATGCCTCTCACCTGGGGAAGGAGGGAAGCTGCCGTGAGTCCTGCCCAGACAGGTGGCGCCTCTGTAAAGCCTCTCCTGAGGCCTCCTTCCCCTGACTGGGCCTCGGCTCCTCTGCATACCCACTGCCCCCTTGCTTTGCCCCATCACAGCACTTACTGGTCTGAATTGAAACTCTCCACGTCTGTCTTTGAAATGCCTGTTGAATGGGTATTGAGGTGCACCTTTGGCCTGGTCTCTTAACCGGCTCACGCTGTGAGGGTGGAGTGTAAGGAGACCATCAAACGACCTGGGAGAACGTGCTCAGGCATCCACAGAGTGCTACTGAAAGCAGAGGGCTTGAGGAAGAAGGTGGACCCCGGAGTTCTAAGACTACCATGAGGGTTTCATCCCCAGCCTTGCCTGGCCTGGAGTCCGGCCTGGGGTGTGGCTGGCGCCTCTGCACTACTCTTGGACCTTCATGGATTCTGCCAGTAGGTGTCCTCAAGGTGCCCCCAAATGAATTCTCTGCCATTGGGCAAGATCAGGCACTCAGCAAAAATTTAAAAACGAGTAGTACAGCCCTTTTAGGATTTTTCTGGCAGATTTTCTGGTTTTCTCCAGAAAACATCCCCCCCACACAAAAACCAGTTTAAAAACTGTGCTTATTCAGCAGCTGTTTCCTGAGCGCCTCTTCTTGTAGACGGCATCATACAGGTGCTGTGGGCCTGCCCTGGAGGAGGTCAGGGCTTCATGGGGAAGGCAAGGCAGTCACTCACCTGTCAGCACGAGGCTAGGAGGAGCACCGTGCTGTGGAGGCTTGGGAAGGGCGTCGTCATTCCCAGTCGGAAACAAGGAAGTCTCTGTGGAGGAGGGGGCATTTGGCCTGGGCACTAAGGAACGGGCAGGAGAGCAGAGAGGGTAGTGGGAAACGCGAAACAATTTCTGGGGGACTGGGTCTAGTCCCTAGCCCCTGGCTCAGCAGGACTGCACATCTGTATGAGGGAGAGCCCCTCCACCCGCCACCTCTTCCCTTTTCCCCACCTCTCCCTGCAAATTGCTCACAGCACATTTTATAGGGACTAGTCAAAATAGAGACTCAGACGGATTTATCCCCCGTGAGCCCACACTCGCATTCCTGGGCACAGGAGGGAGCGGCGGGCCCGTGGGATGTTTGCAGAGAAAACAGAAGTGAATGAGAGTCTGGTGAGGTGCTTACTCGGAATCAGGGAAGGAGCGGGTGTCAGCGCGCCACACGCAGGGCCAGAGCCTGCCGAGCAGGAAACGCACTGGGGCAGGGCCAGTCTGGCCTCCAGCAGGGCAGCCCCGGTTCCTCAGCCCAGACAGCACAGCACGGTGATCCCAATGGCTGGGTCCTCTGAGCTTGAGGTGGGGCTAGGGGCACAGCCGACTGCTTGTGTCTAGGACTCTTCCTTATCTATGATGTGGTGATGCCACCAGCTCCCAGGTTGGGGTGAGAGACTCAGGGAGGTCAGGCCCCATGCCTGGGAGCCTGCACAAGTGGGAGCAGTTGTCACTGTCCCCTGGTCACATGGGGCCGGGGGCTGAGAACATCCCATGACTCCCGGTTAACTGGAACCCCCATTAGCCAGGACTCCTGCCCACCGTCCTTCCCCTCGTGAAGGAGGTGTCCAGATGGTAAGATCCTGGCTGGGTGCTGGGTGGCGGGGGCTTTGACCTGGTGCTGCCCCTTTGTAGCTAGGGGGACCCATGGCGTGTAAGCAAGCCGTGTGGCTTGAAGGAGAAAACACACAGAACCTCTTGATAGCAGGGGGCCCTTCAGGAAGCTCCCTGGCCCTCACAGGGCAAGGAGAGCGGGGATGTACTTGGGTTTTCCGCAAGGGGCTAAACTGCAAGGGCTGACACAGGCTTGATGAAGCAGGGCTGGCTGGTTGGACCAGGGGATAGATGTTGCCTCAGAGTCTCCTTGGAATTGCTGGGAGTAGATAATTAGTGAAAGAACTCCATGGGAAGCCCTCAGGAGACTGTTTCTTTCCTTCCACTGCCCACCCCCCAACCCCCCAAAATATCTGAGAGACCCAGGTGGGCAGGTGGTGCCTTGCAGGGTATGAAAGGCCTTGGAGCTGGGGACTACTTCCCTCCTCCTCTGCCGAAGAGGCGAACAGCCCCTTACAAGTCCAGCTCTCCTGCCTGGCTCTGGTTCTGCTCCCACCGTGATTCTCTCGTTTGCCTCCATCCTGGGAAAACCTTTCCTTAACTTCAGGAGATTCTGGGTTCCAGTCCACGCTCTGCTCCTCGGAGGCTGTGTCACCTCGCCCAAGTCACTTGGCCTCTCTGAGCTTCAGTGGTCTCACTGGCAGTGGAGTAGCTCTGGGAGCCTCCTAT